GATATAAAGCTTTATAAAGTCTAATAAAAAAAATCAAGCATAGAATTTTATGTCTTAAATTAAATTTAATAACACACTTGGAGCACATTTTTTTCATATCACAACGCTGATATCGACTAGTTAGAATATGTGATATGTTGAGTGGTGTATGGGTAGAACAATGCCTTAAGTAATACCTAATAATAATAATAGCTTTATTTTGAAAGCTGAGTCTATGCACAATGCATTAATTCACTCCTTGTGCGGATCTTCCAGTTATGTAAAAATCGATAAGACATCATTTAAAGAAACACTCATTTGTGCAACCTGTTCCATGTGTTAGTTTGAATAAAGAAAGAACGAACATATTTGTTTGGAGGATTTCATTGTCAGCTGACATCAGTTAGAGAACCATTGGAAAACCAGCCAGGAGTACTGGACAGCTATTTTGTCAGCCTAGTTTGGAATTCTTCGGCTGTACACATCCACCACTGGGGCTCGAACACAGGACCTTCTGGTTACAAAGCGAGCCATCCCGTAGACCATTAAACCACTGGGACCCAATCCAGTGGTCAGCCCATGAATTCTAACCTCTGCCATTTTGTGACATAGCGCACCGTACTGGTCACGGCTTCCCACTAGTAACCCTGGTAACCGCCTGAATAGGACCAGTTGCTAGCGAGCATTAGATCAATTTTCAAGTATTGGTTTTGTAGGGATTTTGTTTGATTCTTTGAAGGATTTCATTATGAGCTGACATTAGTTAGAGAACAATTGGAAAACCTGGTGAGGCAGTAACTCATCGAAGAAGACATTGCGAAGTAGTCACGCTATGTCATGAATCAGCAGAGGTTAGAATTCATAGGCCATTGGATTAGGTCCCAGTGGCTGCTCAGTGGTCTACGAGCTCGCCTTGTAACCAGAAGGTCATGGGTTCGAGCCCTGGTAGGTGGGTGCGTACCGTGGAAGAGTCCCGAGCACTAAGACGAAACAGCTGTCCAGTACTCCCCGTTGGTTTTCCAATGGTTCTCTAACTGATGTCAGCTCGCGATGAAATCCTCCATCCAATCAAACAAAATTCCTACAAAACCAACACTTGAAAAGCGAACATATTTGTAGGATGAAACGAGCTCTTTTTATGTCGTAGATTCTCTTCAACTGCAGACATCCTTAATAAAATCAAATTATTGCTTACAAAATTCTTGAACATACATTTTTCATAGTGACTTCAAGCTATAAATAGAAAGTTTAAGCAACATAATTCCAAAAATGATGTATGTAGACACATTATTCAACGTTAAAAGACTAAGTATTTATGGTACAATTAGATAAGAGTGGAATAGAGTTCAGATTTGGCTTAGAAACAAGAATTGAGTACAGACAAAATATAAGATAGAACAACGGAGTGAATTTCTACATATTATGATAGAGAGTTCACGAAGGTGGGAGTGAATAGCAGAGTAAAATTATGACAGACAAAGAAATTAAGTAAATTTGGTAATTTAATAGTGAGTTCCACTCAGTGAAAACCAAAATTAAGTGGAATATTACGCAATAGAACAGATCAGCTACATTCACCAAGATAGTGAGAGATTAGTCCCGCTATCTTTCTGTATACAGAGATTGTGCCAAAGTCTTTTGATGTCAGTGGCTTCTGAAAAACATGGTTTTCCTTGTATGTTGATTATTTTGAAAGCCTGACTAATTTCCACTGTATATCTCATGTCAATGTTTGGCAATTGAAATTTAGAACACTTTGATGCCTGTCATACGGAAACTTTTAGGAATATGCTTAGAAAATCCAGTAGACGTTTTCCTTTCAGTCCTTCCTATGGACTTGCTGTTGCAAACGGAGGTGAATCGGTGAATGTAGTTGGAACTGACATGAGCAGGATACTTTTGACTGGGTCAAAGAGCATACCGTGTTATAAAGTGGAATGAGTATGGCAGCAGAAAGCATGTGATAATACTTCGAAGTGTTTTTTATAGAATTAGATTGGAACATATTTGAAAAGGCGTCTGAGAACAGATGGTGATTCAATTTGAAGTAGAGAGAATCTGATGTATTTTAATGAATGGAAAATTGGGTAGTCCAGAGGTTCAATCACACCGTCATAGTCTGTATTTGACTATCGTCTGATTCCTGAAGTGTTTTGAAAAGGCCTAATGAATGGCTATGCAAATAGTTCAGTGTAATCAGGGTGTTGTATTTCATGGGCAGATGTAACCACCATGATACAAACATGCATTAGTTTAATGAACATCATCTTAATACCTCAAACATGTTTTTAATAATAATAATAATAATGCACTTTATTCCAAAAACATTACTTATAATATAGAATGGAATTCTCAGCATTTGTCACAATATTGCATCTGATTTACTCAAAATATAAATAAAATTAAAAATTCAAACAAAATTAACCAGAGGAATTTGTCCACATTCACGTTATAAAGTCAAAAATATTCGAAGTATGAATTGAGAATGATAATAATAATAATGAGTTTGTGGGAAACAGTATTGCCGGTTCAGTTTGGAAATTTTAGCATGTTATAGATTACTGAATCCAATGTTCTGTTGACATTGTATATTGAGGGGAAAGGCGAAATTAACAGTTATAACACAGATTAAATGATGTTCACACTTATGAGAAAATAAACAAATAAAAACAAAAAATCGAGAGGATTATAAGTAGAAGAAGAACAATAACAATAAAGCTTGGTGGAATAAGGATGGAGAAAATGGTCTACTTACTACTACTCCTTTATCACACAAAATACGTGCCAAATATGTTATAGTGGAATTTTCACACTTAGACATACGTGCATTAAGTCTTCTGGAAAGACTTCTTGTTTCATCTGAGGAGAAACAAGGTGGAAGCTGCGGGTGCTGCGGTGGATGTTCACAGTCTGACAAGATTCCTTTAGCAAATTGGTTGCATGGCATCAAGTGCCTATCAATGACAATGTCAACGATATGGCCCAATGGAATGCCACTACTCGCCCTACTGACAGCCTTCAGAGTTCTACGCAGCATGACATAGTTGTTTTTAAGCAATCCAGGAAAGAAAAATGGTGAAGAGTAAAGAAGAATAAGTAAGATGCATGAGTTGACAAACTGTAAGAAGAGGGTTTGGCTTAGTTACGTCTGAGTGCCCTAACTTCTTAATGTAAAATGTCAGACTAAATATTGTTTTAGAAATCGCTAAGACATAGGTGGACCAGGATAGGTCAGAAGAAAGAATCAGTCCAGGATACCTAACGTCAGACTTGATTTTTATATCACTATCATCAATTTTGCAACGGTTTGTTTATAGAATGGCTTGATTTGTCAAAGCCAGATACAGTACAAAATGTGCGTTTTATATTGTCACAGAAAATGACAAATTTGACAGCAAAGTTTCATCAGCTTCAATAGAACAATGCTAGGGTGTCTAAACATAAGCGGTTTCTTTTCAGACAGCCTAACATATACAATATTTAATTAAGGAAACAATAACATATTGTTTTGCTAGTGAATGGAAGTTAAGCATGAGGACTGTTGTTTAACGAAACTCGACATCTCTCGATCACGTGTGCAGTATTAGGATGTATTAGGCTTGTAGAAGAACGATACAGGACAATTAAGAGCTCACTTCTCGAACACCTGAAAAACCTAGGTCACGAAGCTCCTACACAGTCGTCTATTAAGATTATCAACAAGTTGAAGCCAAATCATACGAGGGACTTTAGGCTCCGGCATTAGTATATTGCCGAGGAGCTTGTGATTCGTACAGACATGTGTTTGTCCAGTCTTTTGTTCCACCGTGGTCTCAATCTCTTTTCTCACAGTTTACTTTTATTGCTAGTAATTAATTCGATATTATCACTTTTACAGGTTCCTTTTATACATTTTCTGACCTTCTTGACATTTGTCAAGTGGACATTTAACTGCCTTACTTCTCACTAAATAACAGTTTTTACCTAATAGAATTTCAAAGCTTTTCTTCCGTTGTGTCATCAACTGTTACGTAATGTTTCAGTTTCTGTTTTATTTTGAAAACCTATTCTGAGGAATTATGCCAGCCCTATCACCCCTTATTACGCAGTAATAGACAATTGTATATTATTAGGATATGCTTCATTTCTGTGGAAGGAATATAGATGTCGATCTGTAGGAGACTATGGGCTTAAGTCTTGTACTTTTTAAACATCCACCCACAATACGTATCTACAACTTTGAAGGAACTCTTAAATTCAAAGCTGCCCGACAAATAATCCACCACAAAGTCGTATCATACAGATAACTGGTCAGATTCCTTCTTCGAAAACATGTTAATAGAGGAGGTAATCTTTACCTCAATAAAGCATTCCAGGAATTGAAGAAATAAAAAAAATACCAAAACTTGGCTAATAGGATTCAGTCAATTAAAACGCCTAGAAAACCTCCTGATGACTGAACACAGTGTGCATTACACTCCTATTCGTTGCGGTTTAGATACATCAGGAGCAACATGAATGACTGCAACACTGATTAACGCCAGTTAGGATTTCTAAGCAGACATCAAGTCGCCCCTCTATCTTACCAATGAGTATAAATGAGCATGACATCTAGATCACAAACCTTCCGACTGACTGCTCACCGTCATCGAGAATCAATTGCAGTATGAGTTAATTGAAGAAAAATGAGCTACTCACTGACGAAAGGCATTTAAAACAAACTTGGAACATCTTGAACAGAATTCTCAAGTTGTAATTAAGAATGATTCTAAAGGATTTCCGTCCCCTAATATATTTTTTATAAAAGATGAACAGTGTCCAGTACTAAAAAACAATACATTTATAAGAAAAAATAAAGTGATAAGAACCTGTAATACTTTGAAATTTTCCATTTTCTTTTCTTTCCTCTAAATACTCATTTCATTAAATAATGAGATAATAAAAAAAGTATTTTGGAAAAACAAACAACTCATTGTATGTTTTTTTTTTAAAAATTTTTATTTACAGTAAATCGAATACAAAAGAGAAGAAGCTAAATAAAAATGTCGTCTGTAAAAGTTGCTGTACGTGTACGACCCTTCAATAGACGAGAACTTATGATGAATAGTGAGTGTATCATTTCAATGTCGGATAAATCAACAAGTAAGTATGTGTTAGTTGTATACAAATAATGTTAAGAAAGTGTATCTTTTTGATATCTATGATAACTTTTCTATTGCTTTGCGTTCCAAGTAGGACACAGAACTTCCAGCTTTGAGCTTTTCAGTTTCAAAGGAAGTGATGTTGTTCCCTTTTCACACAGTGGGTTTGAAAGCCTCAAGTTGAATCTTCACCGTTTAACGGGCTCATAACAGCTTAGCCTGAGGATCGGATCACGCACCACTTGTTTTGTTAGCAGGCGTTTTATCACTCAACTATACCGACGCCTACAGTAGATAACATATCATATCCCGGGTTCCGGTACTAGTGCATCGGTGATATAGCGGTTAGGACGCTTACCGACCATGCACATGGTCCGGGGTTCGATCCCCGGCCGACGCACTCCTTTACCTCACTAAGCCAGAAATAATGCTGGTAGAAGAGGAAAGGTTGGGCATGAGGCTAGCAACCCCATCCTGTAAAATAAACACTACTACAGAAACTTCTGGCCACAAGCTTGAAGCCCTATGTTCCACTGGGAACGTGAAGGACAAAAAAATATAGTTGGAGGCAGTCAACAGGAATCCCTTGGACCTAGGTTTCGTGCTAGCTGACATCCATCAGCAAGACGTATCTGCAACCAAGGCTTCCCACCAATTACCTCCAACCATCTTATATCAACAATTCAAAGTACACCTTGGTGGCAAACCACCTGGAATGGCGGCGCGACACCCAACCATAAAATCGCTACAGACTAACTCTTGAAAATCATCGGAATTTTTATGATAGAATGACTTAGAATGATGACAGTGTGAATGATATTGACAGTATCAATTTTAAGTAATCCATAAGATTATGCTCCATTTTATAAGCATACCACAAGCTCGATTTCAAGTGATGAAAATTAATATTAAGACTCAAAGGTATCATAGAGAGTTCCAACCGCCTTTAACTAAATTGTGAAATACCTGTTTGCATAAGGTGAAATGTACCGCTGTCAGCTTTGAGCAGTCTGTAAACTAAATGCCATGTAGACCGAAGTTTAGGATAATAATGCAGCTAAGAAATACATTGGAACAATTACGCAATTCTACGTTATCTTAAAAAGTTATCAAGGCGGCTTCACAAGCTCCTTTGTGGTTAAGTCAGTGTTTTTTCCTGATATTCGAAAATGAAACACTCAGAAATGACGAAGAAAGCTGACGAATAAACTAAATAGCAGTCTCAGGATGTAGTCTGGTGTTAAATTGATGCATACTACAGGAAAATATAATAAATGTATGTATTGTATTGTGTTTATTGTAGGAAGCAATTAAAATTTCAGCTGGCAAATAGCGTGATCAAATTAATTCAGTTTGTGAATATATATATCTATATGTATTTCTTATTGGGATTCGTGTATTTTGCCGACACACCACAGACAATAGAATCATCTCACCGAAATGAGACATTTTAGACTATGGCTGGTAGAGACGTTGTAAAGTCTGGATAATCTGGAAAATAGAATAAGTAGATAATTCTTTGTGAAAATGTCCATAAACACGTCACATTATAATATCAGATTATGTTAGAGATCTACCTTAGAATTATACATGACACAGCTTCAAGAATTTTTGAGTCTTACTTGGCTTCAGTGAATTTCCTTAAGCTAAAGGGTTTCACTTTACCCTCTGAGTAATATTATTTCAGCCTAGTAAAGTCACAGAATCGGTACACTGGCGTTCAGCGCCTCATTACTTGTTTTCCGAGTGAAATGTTGCTTTTATGAGGTGGGATTGCTAACCCCAAGCTCAATCTTCGCCCTTCTCTTAACATACTTTGTCCTGGTAGACCTAGCGACGTTTAAGAATATCTTCGTCAACAGTTGAACCCGGACCGATAATGTGGACCGAATCTCCCAGTCTTTCGAATATTCTTAAGTCTGGCACCTCTCAGTTACCTAGACACACATTGTTACCACTATTGTGATGGTGTGATGCAGACAATGTGTGCCAACCAAATGTTATTCTCACATGTTCCCACAGTTCAATTCTGCATTAACAACAGGAATGCTATGTATATTTGAACATTCTATTTCATGTCGTTTGATGTAAACCGAAATTTTCAAGTATTGGTTTTGTAGGGATTTTTGTTTGATTGCATGGAGGATTTCATCATGAGCTGACGTCGGTTATAGAACCACTGGAAAACCTGGGAGTACTGGACCGGTTTCCAACCCCGGTGGGTGCATACTGTTGAAGAGTTCCAAACTAAGACGAAACAGCTGTCCAGTGCTCCCAGGTTTTTTCAGTGGTTCTCTAACCGATGTCAGCCCATGATGAAATCCTCTCTGTAATAATAATAATTTGCTTTATTCCAAAACAGTACATGTGATACAGAATGGAACTCTCAGCATTTTTACTACAGTATTGCATCCAGTTAGTACATTATCAATAAATAGAATTCTACATAGACTGAGGAAACCACAGTTCATTATGACAACAACACATTGGCATGTCGGTAGCAAAGCAAAAACTGAACAGTGTTTGAAGGTGTTAGAAAAGTAGATACTAGCATATTTACTGGCGTAAGCGAGAGAAAGAGACAAAGCAGCACATAATGGAAAAAAGAAGAGAGAGAAAAGGAACAGAAAGAAAGAAAAGGTTGTACCTATTGATGATGTGGGCTGGAAAGACGAAATCCGATATCACACACTCAGTGATTTGTTAACGACTATAAACTCTAGATATATAAACAGCGGTTGGATTATTGGAAAATATACGTGTGCTTCTGCGTCTTGCTTTCTGTTGTTAAAATATTAATTATTCATTAAATATTATCCAAATTTATATGCCACTGTTGTTTTCCAACTATATTGAACTAGCCCATTCTTCTCTGGTCAGATATCATATAGATACCGTCGTCTTGCCTTTCCTTACTTCTTTAAACTTCACAACATAAGAATTCATGAATTCATTTTCTTAACTTTGTGTACACTTCACTCTTAAGTTTTAATTCCATGGCTGAATGTAACAGCTATAGGCTTCAGTAATACTGAGTATTCATAGTGTGAAACTTTTTCTCATTGATTAAAAGGACTGTTTCTAAATATGAAGTTAAAGCTCTGATCGTAAGTTTACATCAGTTGGAGAACTACTGGAAAACCAGAGGGCATTTTATCGTTCCACTTTGTGAATATTCAGCTGTGTGAATAAACCACTGGAGTTCTGATCTGGGATCTCCAGGTTACCAGTAAAGCCCGCTGACCACCCGGCCACTGGGACCCGGTCCAGTGACCCATGAAATCCAGGTTCTGCAAATTCGTGATATACATATCGCTCAACCACCCACCAATGTTATGGGTGATTAACTGTTCCTTTACTTGACCTGGTGGGCTCTCGTCGTTACGACTTCTCCCAAGAACTTTGAGCGAATTTTTAACAGAGCAAGTGACTAGTGAATATCAGATTAGTTGTAGAGTGTTGGTTTGGAGGGAAAAGGTCGAGTACAGGTTTGATGACAAGCTGATATCAGTTACGGGACCCCTGAGAAACCAGGGAGTACTGCCTGGCTGTTTCGTCCTAGTTTGATACTCCCTCATCAGCACACCACCATTGGGATTGAAATCAAGGTCCTTCCGGTTACAAGGCTAGCCAGGAGACCATCAAGCGAATGGGATCCCTGCATATCAATACTTGTAAAAAAGAGCGTCGGTGGCACAGTGGTTAGACACTCGCTGACCATGCACACGGTCCAGGTTTCGATTCCCGGCCGACGCACACCCGATATTAATGGACGGCCTGCTATATATGGGCTACCAGTATCACATGCTGAAAATTCCACACGTCAATTCAGTCACTGAAAATTCCACAGCTGGACCAAAAATACTGTGTGGAATCAAGCTATAATGATAAAAAGAAATTTTTTGAAATAAATAAAAATACGAAGCTTAAAAACGTATTCTGTTCTGTGAATGTTGTTCCTTGTGCTTTCGGGTGACTGACTAAGAGGAGATAATGTAACACATCTGCGTAGTCACGCCGTTCAGTGATAAACGTGACTTTGCTCACCCATAGTCTTCAGTTATACATTAAATAAAAAATAATTCCTTTATATATTACTTTACTTGGGATGCTAGTAGTAGGGTGGAACGCCTTCGGATAAGTAGAAATATTTTAAAAAAATTATTTATTAAGCATTGCATAAATTATTTCCTACCCTTACTCAATATACTTTCTTATCTGAATTCTGTCCCTTAATTTATTCATATTCTGGTTAAGAAGACTAACAGTTTTTCTAAAGATCTCTCTCCTCTATTACAATAATCTAAGGTGAACTGTATGCATAGTCTGACAATGAGGACAGATTCAATATCTGTTATTGATGAGTTACAGGTGGCAAATATCCACCTCAATTTAGAGGTTTTAAAGTGAACAGAGTAGCTAGATTGAAAAGTGAAAAAATCTAGCATCTGTAAGAGACCATCTCATTCTGATAAATACCCAAACTTTCAGTTATAAAGCTCAAAATCAATAAAGGTGGGTTTAGTGAAATTTTCGTGTACCTGAGCCAGGAAGTTGACTAGTGAGTTGGAAAATTTAAGTAAAGCAACAAATAAGATAAACATTACTACTGAATAAGAGCTCGGCAACAGGGGGAGTAATTTTATTATTTTTATTATTCCCTATGGTTCCAAGTGGAACATAAGGCTTCAATAGCACATCTCCAACTTCTTCTATTTTCTGCTGACCTCTACAGCTGGCTGAGTCCACGATTACCCGTAATCTCTCATCTCCCCCATGACACCCTCGTACTGACGACCCACTTTTCGCTACCCACCGGAATCCCACTTAAGGGTGTGCCTGGCGCGATGTTGTTCAACAGCCTCTTCAGAGTATACTCTGCCTGATCCATCTCCATTTTCGCCTACATATTTGTTGAGCAATCGACTCCCGCTTTTGGTTTATTATCAACAAGAGTCTCTGGTTGTAAATTCTTTCTAACCGACTAGCCATTGGATCTTC